AGACACACGGATTACGCCGAAATCGATCTTGCACTACAAACTTGCTACTAGCCCGAGCAAGCTGGACAGAGTCAATCGGTGCCAGAGTTTGAGTCGACGTTGTCTACCTGGACCTCTCGAAAGTGTTCGATTGTTTGAACCGCCGCATTCTCCTTCACAAGCTTCGAAGCTATGGAATCGGAGACAATGTACTCGGTTGGGTCGGCAAGCTCCTCACACAAAATCAGCTGAATGTGAGAGTCCACAGCTCTATTTCTGAACCAACTGACGCCCAGTGTAGCGCGCCCCAAGGATCGGTACTGGGGCCACATTTATTCCTAACGTTCATTAACAATCTTGCCAATGTACTGCAGTCGGATTTCTTAATATTTGCAGATGATGTCAAAATTTGGCATGATATCAGGACGCCTGATGGCCACATGGCATTGCAGAGTGATCTCGACAGGGCTTATGCGTGGTCATCCGGTAACCTCTTTCAGTTCAACGTGACCAAGTGCAAGGTTCTAAGCATACGTCATCAGCTTAGCTATGAATATCGACCTGAGGACCAGCAGTTACAACGTGCTTCCCAAGAAAACGACCTCGGGGTGATCGTGCAGTACGATCTTGGTTGCTCGAGACTGGCTGTAAAGGCATCAAAAAGCACCAGTCAACCTCTTGGCCTCTGACGGGGAGCTTCCGGAAAATTTGAGCTATCAATCGTTCCGCAAATGCTGAACGCCTACGTGACGTTGAATATGCAATCCAGGTCTGGCGTCCCTTTTTCAAGCGCGACATCAGCGCACTTGAAGATCCACAAGGTAGAGCCACTGAACTCGTTAGAGCATTGTTTCATCTCTCCTACCACCAAAGACTGCAGTCTCTGAGATTGTATGGTGGTGAATATCGACGTCAGAGAGGAGACCTAATCATGGTTTACTTAATGCTGACGAAGCCAACTCACCTACGTCGCAATCTGTTGCAGCTGAGCCAAAATACCAACCCGAGAGGCCATCAACTCAATCTGGCTAGGCACTACAGTCGACCTGATTGTCGATGAATCGTGTTCTCCCTCCGTGTGTCCCGTGCCTGGAATGACCTTCCGACTCAATTTATCTTTGCCCCATACATTGACGCCATTCAAATGACTCCTTGATGACACGCTTACCAGTTTGCATTACTTGATATAGTTCGTTCTACTTGGAGGACAAAATAACGCAAACCTAACCATGTACTTAACGGCTGTCTCTGCTACATGGCGGTGAGGATACATCCAGAAGTTCCTTGTGGGTAGCAAGGACGCATCTACACTGGATTAGTACAACGCATCTGACAAATGATGCAATACACGAGTGAGCGTTATCTTTTCTTGTTTATTTCACATGCATTTACGAAACTATAACGGCTCAATAGAAGTTGCGCGTCGCAACCCAATGACGCAGCAGTCTCCCCAAACTCAACTTCGAATTTCTTTCCGCTGTTCCAAGCTTTGCTCGGGGATCTCAGTAGCGTAGTGTTCAGGACGTCAGCCGTTATCCACCAGGCTCTGAGTTCCAGCCGTGCTTAGGCTATCGCAACCTGATGAGTCCAAGCCAGGACGAAACGGTCGTCGTGGTGTATCAGTTTTTGTAGGAGCAACCCTAAAATAATTCTATTTCGGATAAAGTCCTCGTGAAAGAAATGGCATGGGTTTAACACAACGTGAAGCGAGGTCTCATAGAGGTTGTGTGTCGCAATCCAACCACAGAGCTGGTTCCCCAAATTCAACTTTGAATTTCTTTCCACCGTGCCAAAAACGCTAGTGTTCGCTTCTCAGTAGCATGGTGTTCAGGGCATCAGCTGTGAAATACTAGGCTCTGAATTCTTCCTTGGCTTAGGCTATCGCTACCCGATAATTCTGAATGAGGACGAAACCGCGGTCGTGGTGTGCCAGTGTTGGGTGGAGAAACACAGAAATATTTCCATTTCAAATATGGTCCTCGCGATCGGAATGACCGAGGTCTTAATAGAGGTTGCGTGTCGCAAACCAACGACGTAGCGGTATCCCCAACTTCAACTTTGAACTATGATGGCCCTTTGTACTCTTTTGTACGTGCACATCCCATTCCCACTTCAAATTATCGCTATGGAGTAGTGCATTCAAATCGGTGGACGATAAAAATAAGGATTTACTTTTTCGATGACCCTTTCAATTTTAATTTTACTCCAGCCATCAGTGTCAAGCACATGCTTTTTTCCTTTTGATAAATCATTATTTATTGAGTAGCTGCGCAAGCGTTCGGTGACGTAGGAGGTGTCCTTGTAAACTTCTTTCTGCTGTTAAATCTGCTTCGCTTATTTCTGATGTAAACTGATAGCCCAAAACTAGGAGTGTCTGGGAGGATAGATTTTTATCCAAATGCTTTAGACACTGAGTGGTGTTAAAGCGAAAGGATAATTATACGATATATTAAAGTAGTTCGTGGATTTTGGACATGCTCGCTAGTCACTGGCCATTACAACGAATGGCTTCTCGACGGGTTACAGTATCGTGTCTCTACCACTGCGCTGTTCGCCTGCGGATGTGTGTTGGTTGTTGGTTTCGGTGGTGGATCTTGTGATCTGTCCCCTGTCAACTGCTCATTTCTCATGTCGAGGGCGAATTATTAATCCTATACACAAATCGTTCGGCCTAGGGCGATCGTTGGTTAAGACACTCGTGGTGTTCCTTACATTTCTTGGCTGTCGCTGGAGCAGTTTGATGATGCTGATATTAAAAAAACTCGATGTTTCTATGTCGAGATTCGCCTAGTCGAGATCCACACCAAGGCAGTTGCTTTCTCCATCGAGTGTGATTGGTTCATATATCACTGCTTGGGAGTCCTAGGTGCGTGCTTTCTCTGCTTACTGTGCTTGTGACATATTCTCAACAAGGAAACCTTATAAATGCGTGCCATCAAGTTAAATCAGTGCATCCTTAAACTGAGTGGGCTGACTTATGCCCATCAGACAACGCATGAAACTCTTGACCTATTCTTCACCAGAAAATTTTAAAATAACCGGACAGCAATGTGGTGGCGTTATCTTTTTAATGCTTGCATAGTTGCATTTAACCTCCGATATACCGCAGATACTCGGTAATGATGTTTTCACCTTAATCAAACTATATTTATTAGGAATGTTGTGTATGAGAACATTTTTAATTCTACGCATTCGTTCTTGGAGTTCAGATGAGACGGATGTAACAAGCCGTTCAAATACTGTCCTTTGGGTTCGCTCGAGGCTTTTCGACGGGTTACTAATATATTTTCGGGAAACAAGATGTTCCTTGATATGTTCAACGCATGCCACGGTAGGTATCACTTCAAAGCTTTGTAGTGTAGGAAGCTAACTTTATGATAAATTGGACATTGAGACTTTAAATTGGGACTGCACCATCTTGCGATCATCCAGGTGCTTGATGTTTTAGTGGTATTGTTTGTGAAGTTGTGGCTATACAGTGTCTCGCCAGATGAGTGTGATCAGATTTAGTTGGTGTCATTGTATAATAGTTGCCTCAGTACCTATACTTCAAAAGGTTTATGAAAAGGATCTGCAAAGGTAACGGGATTGTGGCTACAGCTGAGAAGTAGTGAGTAAAGATGTAAACCAGTGAGGTTAAAGTTGTAAACACAACTAGGCGGCTCAGCACCAACTAGGAAAACGTAGGATGTGCAGAAATCGAGGGTAAACGTTATTCGTTCTCGATATTGTACTGTCCAGGGCTTTCATCTTTCACGCTGTCGCCAAGCTAATAGTTCAAGTCTGCAGTTCTGCCAAGTCTCGTCCTCTACAGTTCCAGGTCAAGCGTGGGCCTTCTATGGAACAAGCTTGGTAACGAATGTTTCTCGATCCGATAACTATGGTGCACTCTTTTGGGCGCAGGCTTGGACGCGCATAGTCGTTGTGCTCAAGCGAAGGTAAAATTCATAGTAGACGCTGGGTGGAAGATGGCGACCGTGTAATGATTTGCATCTACGCTAAATAATGTCGGATTGTTGTACGTCGGAGCTCGCTGGAAAGCTCAAGCGACTTATTCTTAAATGATGATAGAAAGTTGGGTATGCACACACAAGCTGAATTGGTATTGTGCGTGATACCGAAAGAGCTACTGATAGAAATGCTTAGCAAGTTTAACAACGGTGTAATAAGGATAAAGATATTATGTCAAATCCGTTAAATAAAGCTCGTGAATCCGAGTCGAATTAATACAAAGGGAACAGAGTACACCGAAATGAGACCAAGAGAGCGCTCGACAAAGCAGAAAGCCAAACTATGCGATCGCACGGAGGTTAACCACACGGAGCAGTGGGTACATCATACGAGGGCTACAAGATACCAGGAAAAAATTGAGGCGGAAATGATTTAGTGCCGAAGTGGAGATTGGTGGTGAGAAAAGTGATTTATAAAAGTGAGCACTGGTTTATCACTTGGTTTTGTCTAGCTTTAACCAACCACTTCTTTTGGGCGATGGGCGTTACTGAAGCCATAGCTGCACTGTTCTTGTTTCCACTCGTTCATTAGTATAATTAATCATTATCCAGACCACCACCACAGTGGACTGTTTAGTGCATAAGGATTTACATACTTCTCCAAACAGTCTCTGCAGTTCTTGTATGTCAACCAGAAAAAGTAACCTAACGCGCAACAAACATCCTGCTTGGTGACTCACGCTTTTCAGCTTAGTTCAAGATTTCCGAAGTTTAGAGTAATTGCTTTCTAATAAACAATAACTAATAAGCATCCCTTCAAATCGATCTAACCGCGCTATCACCAACACTAGAAACCCAACAGACGAAGAGTAAAGCAGTGCGTCCATCAGTTAGTGATGGTGTAGCTTGCAGCCTACTTAAAATTTACAAAATGTTGCTTATGAGTAGAATGATATTGGCGAGTTTTTGAGTTCGACGCAATCAGCCGACTACAAATCCGGAAAAGCACCAAGGTACTTACAAAATGGCTTGTGCCTACAGCTAATAGGGTTCCTTTGTTTTATATCACAGGTTTTATGTCCAGGCGGATATTTTTCCGGGGGTGCTGGTTATCTGCTTTCTCGTCAAGCTTTGAAACAAATTGTTGAGCTTGGCATTGATAAACATCCCGAATGCCCGACCGTGGACGAAGACAAAGAAGACGTGAAAATGTGTAAGTGATACCCAGTGTGACCAAAGCTTACTTTATTATTGAAGCCATACTTGTCGCACCTTAAACAACGAAGAACAAGCGTTCACCTCTGCATATATACAACTTTGCATGTTTTTAGATGGTGTATACCTTCCGTTAAATTGGGTTTTGTGGTAACCAGCTTGCTGTCAACACCGCACTGCTTTTTCGTATATGGAATACTATCCGCCATCCAACCCTTGGTTCCATGCCAGTCCTCGATGCCTATTGCCATAAGCAGGAAATAGTGCTGATGATGCGAAGGATCTTCTCTTGTATCAGTTTTGACGGATGCTATCTTGTAATGTTTCAGAGTGCAGTTAGCTGGACCAACTTCTTGTCTCAAACCCAGTATCTCTAAAGCTTTAGGCATGTCTTCGGTTAGAAGCGCCTATAACCAGGTATGCAAAACCGATTGGCTGTAGTAGGAAGCTTTCGGCCCCGATACAGACGTAGTTTCGTGCTGTCACAGTGATCTAGTTTCCAAGTCGTTGAGCACCCCCATATTAAAGGTATGGACTCAATTTCGTACATTGGTGATACATGTTTACTTTTCCTCTTATACCGGCCCCTGGTGTCCATTTTGCAAATGGACGTCGGTCTACTTTTGCAGTAAAAACGGTTCTGGCCCAGCCTAACTCTTAATTTCTCCACGTAGGGGACTTCAGCGTACACGCAATAGGTGTTCCAGCCTCACCTGGCTAGCAGTTTAAAGCCGAACTACAAGAATTTGTCACAGGCCTACCAGTACATAACCACGTTATTTTTCTATGCGATTCGGAACAAGGAACAAGTCGGTCATTTTGGGACTCGCCTTCACCAAGGAAGAACCTATGGTTAATAACAGTGAGTAGACCTTTGGAGACCTGTTACCATGAAACTTTGATTTACTCTACGACTGCTACACTGTTCAGTCCAACATAGAAATCAAACAGGTCCGCATAACAACACATCACAACATTTTATCTGACCTCGTTAAGATCGCTGATTGATCGCTTCTAGCGGAATAATCCCCTGATCTCACTTAGAAAAACTTGTCCAGCAGTTCAACAATTTAGTAGCAAACGCATCACTGAAAAAGACTCAGCTCAAAAAGCAATCAGCTTCCTGAGAAGCAGGACGCGGAAACGAATAACCCTGAGCGATTCACTTTGGAATGCATACATATCCCATCCAAACGCCGGAATCGAGCATGCTTACACAAATGGGCGAAACCACTGTGTCAAACTGGCTCATAAATATAAATTGAGACACCAACAAAATTTGGTGATGTTCCACTACAATTTTAAGCCACTGTTAATCAACATCGAAAAGTACAGCGTGGCATCCGTCCTTCAAACATCGAATGCGGGCATGCGCGAAACTCCTAGAAGCAGCCGATGCTCATAAACATCAGTTCGCCTGTACCTTCCAGAACGCATCGTCGACTCATATCATTGTCACACACATCATATCACTGCTAGGACTCATCAACATATCTTTCACAGCCGCGCATGTGGTAAAGCGCCTACTGCCACTACGCAAGTACAGTTCACTTGGTACGGATAGCGTAGATCCCAAGTCATTTATGGTTTCTGCCACGAGCCTAACCGAGCCATTTTCACAGTTTTCCGGTGCTTTCTTGAGGAGATAAAGGTCCCAACAATGTGAAAGCACGGATTAGTCACTTCCATTTACAAGAGAAACAGTCGTGTAGTCCCCGCCATTTACCGCCCGATTACTCTTATCTCTGCACTTGTTACGTTCTAGGAATCCGTCGTTGCAGGTGCACTTATGGGATATTTAGAATTGTCGTATCACTGTGCAAGCGCAGCATGCATTACGCCAAAACCGCTGCTGTAACACAAACCTTTTGGTAGCTTGAGTTAGTTGGATGGAATCCGTCAACGCTGGAGGAGTCAAGTTCATTTATCTTGACTTCTCGAGGGTATTTTATTACCGCCTTGATCACCGGATTCTTCTTCATAAGCTTTGGAGTTACGGGATATTTGACGCCCACCTAGGTGGATTCAAACATTCCTACTCCAAGGACCCTTGAAGTTGCGGGTTCGTAGCACCTTCTCCGACCCGATAGAGATTCATCCTAGAGTCTCTAAATGCAAGATACTAAGACCACGGATATTGCTCGTGCTGACGAACGACTTTAAAATATTACTCGGAATACCTGTGGCTCGGGTGATCTGTTCAGATTTTGTTCTGTTCCCTGAGCTGAACGATTTCGTTGCAAACGCTTCCTCAACAATCGAGGTGAATTCTTCAGTGGGTATTAAGCAGGCTGAGTGGTTTGTTGACTCTTACTGACGAGCGAGTGACATTTGAGCTTGGCTACTTCGATTCACTTCCCGTGACCATTGCTAGTTCGCAGTTCGGGCGCCTCCTCTTTTCGACTCATGTGCCAAACGACCCACGTTAATTCTTTTTATCGCAGCTGCTGGTATACCGGATCGAAGTCGATGTGCTGGTTCCTTGAACTGTCTGGAGAGAACCACGCTTCGAATAATTCTCTTCCTGCGCTAGTATCTCCGTTCTCTCCCAACCAAATATATGCCGATGTTCATCACCGAGATTCGAGATAAATGATGATGGGTAATGTTCCCTACAGACTCGTTAGTGTTCTTGTACCCTGTAGACAATTTTCTTCCTTTTGACGCACCTGGTTCTTGTACCAAGGATACATAGACTAAACAAAGTATGTCCTACGAAAACTAAACTAGAAACTAAAAACAAATTAACCCAGACTTAACACACGGTCTGGGTAGAAGAATAAAATGAATTATCCTGTAACTGTGGTTCTATAAGGCATATTAAATACGGTGCATGACTTACGAATAGGTTTTGCAATCGTAGTGCAAGGGGGCGAAAATTGTACAGCGTGCGGCGGCATGCGAGTATGTGGACAGTGTCACAGTATCACAATAATATGAATGATCTTGAAACGTCAGGGATATGTAAGTGATCAAGAGTGAAAGGAATAAATATAGGATATGGTAACCGATTGTAGGATACAGAGTAAAGCAATGTAAAGTGAGCAGAGTATTTAGGGAATAAAGGCGCCGTGTCCTCATGTAAACAGTCCAGGTTGGGGATACATCAAAGTTCCTTTTCGACTTTACACTCCCCCGGCAGTTTCGTATTCCGGACGATGGCTTCCACCTCATCCGTCTCTTCTTTCTGGTGCGCTTCTAGTAGGCATAGCTGTCTGACGTCGCTTCTCAATACATCTTTGCTTGTCCTCACCAATGCTTGTCAAAATAATTGGTCTGTGATCTTTATAACTCCCTCCACGACACCCTTAGGCCACAGACCTCTTGATGTGCGCAAATAACCAACTAAAACTAAATCGCCCTGCCTAAGATCTCGGATTTCAGTTAACCATTTCTGCCTATGCAGACTTACTCGAGTAACACTAGTATCCTCCGCCGACACAGAAAACCTTTTGCTCTCCTCCAGCTCACTGAAACACGAATCCTGTGGGATACGCATCTATCCTGATGTCCTTTGGAGGGCGCGACGATCAAAAAGAAACACCGAAGAGGGGCACAGCAAGCAAGACCACCTAACCACAATCTTCATACATTGCATGCCAGAAGATCCTTCTAAGGATGTTCAAGAGACCGGAATGTAGGATTTAAAACTGTGGCGGTTCATTCGTGAAACACTTTCTTTGGATAATGCTGTGGCGCTATCGCTCACCAGGATACTTATCTCACCACATTATAGAGGATACGACCACAGAATCCTGAAACTTGTGGTGCAGTCAGAGCAACAAGCAAAGGATGTTTTAGATCGATGGCGGAGAAATCGGAAACATCTTCTTTCTGAAATTCAGTTAAAGGTCGCAAAACTTTTGCACAGCTCAAATATTAAAGCAACTGAAGCAGCAAGCATAGCGATGAATGTACAAAAGCGAAACTTGACTGCTGCTTTATTTGACCCTGAAGTAGGTCTAAACGAAGACTGAGACGCATCTTGGCCGAATCAAGTTGCAAACAAGGTATCGTTATCCCATCAACAAGACGAGTAACTTCCGACCTCCCATCGGTCGACATTCTCACACATGTGGCCGCTTCACCCCTCTGTAGGCTCCTAGAAACCAAGGAACTGCTTGCTTGTATACGAATGCTCAGGGTCATTATAATAAACTTTCCGAACTAAAATATGACCAAGCTTCCGGGTCATACGATGTCATTGATATCTCCGAGACATAGTTGCACACGGGAATGACGGACGCCGAAGTTCTGCTACTGGGCATGTCGCTGATCCGGAACGACAGGCTCATAAAAGGAGGAGGGGTAATCCTGTATTACCGAAAGGACTTACAGTGCGAGGTCTTGGAGGATTCAGACTCGCAGATCCCCGACTCTCTTTGGTGCCGGTTGCAGTTAAAAGGCAGGGGCGCTTGCCTTATTGTCTTGGTGTACCGCGCCCCCTAACTCTAAACTTGAAAACGTCTAACACCTAGCGGCTGCTTTAAGGTGCAGTTTGCAACAAAAGCACACTCACATTCTTATCATGAGTGGTTTCAACGTACATTGTTTAGAAACCCCCGCCACGATCGGAGAACAATTCAAAGCCGAGCTACAAGATCTAGTAACTACAGTTCCTCTTTACGATCACATCACTTTGTCCACTCGGTTCAGAACCGGTAACAGGCCATCTGTGCTGGATCTTGGGCTTACCAACTGGGAGTATATGGTTGATTTGTTGGTTTCAGACCGCCAGTTGGGTCGCAGTGATCACGCCGTGATCTGTTTCAACTTCGTCTGCTTTGCAGAATATCTGAATGACAACAATGAGACTGTGTGAACCATCACAAACGACGATCGATTAGCCCAGCTCGTCAGCGCCACAAATTGGTCGTTCCTCGAAGAAGAACCCCCGGAAGTCATCTGGCTCGAGTTCGATAAATAATTCAGTCAGCTGATTGCAAAGGCTCCAGAGATAAAAGCTTGCAATAAGTGCACATCAGCTTCTTTCGTTAG